AACCACCAGCGGTACCGCGGGAGAAAGATGTGATAGTCTGCTTCCGTAGAGATTTACAGCCTCAGAAACCCTATGAGTTTGCTATGAGTCAGAATTAACTCAAAGACAGTGGGCTATGGGTGGCTGGCTTTAATGGTAGGTTTTCAGGCACAGGGATGGAATTTTGAAAGAGGAATCGAGGGGCCTGCATCTTGATGGCGACTGTGGGAGTCCCTGCTGTGTCGTCACCAGCACTGTCCCTGTCAGCAGAGACTTCCTGCTCCTGCCCAGTTCTGTCTCACCCACAGGAAGAGGTGTGCAATCCCTGAGTGATGCCACCCGAGCCTTGCTCCACCTGCTTTGCCTCTGCAGCCAAGGCCAGAAGGGAAGCCAGAGTCTCCTCAAGCGCTCTGGCTTTAGAGGTAGGTGGCCCGGGCACAGTTGCTGGGAGGATGAAATGGCATAACAAAACCAATCATAGCTAAGAGCCATCACCATTTACTGGGCTCTTTCTGTGTCTGGGCCTTGTTCTAGCCCTTAATACGCGTTCTTTTATTTAAGCTCTGGGTAACCCAGCAAACCTGTTGCCGTTCAGTCAATTTCAACTCATAGCAACCCTATAGGGCAGGGCAGAACTGCCCCATAGGGTTTTTCAAGGCTGTAAATCTTTATGGAAGCAGACTGTCACATCTTTCTCCTGCGGAGCCAGCTGGTGTTTTTGAACCGCCAACCCTTCGGTTAGCAGTTGAGTGCTTAATCACTGAGCCACCAGAGCTCCTTGCCACCCTACAGAGTGGGTGTTATTACGCCCATTTCACGGATGAGGAAACTGAGGCTTGGGAGAAATGACTTGCCCAAGGTTATACAGCCAGGAGGGGCAAGATGGTCTGACACCAAAGTCTGTAGCAGGAAGCACTGAATGAGGACTACCTCTGCTTTGAGGGACCTGATCCCAGGGACTGGCTTTGAAGGACAGATGCTAGAGCACAGGGCTGGCTGCACTGGGGTCAATCAGGCCAGCCATAGGCTGTGGCCCTACCTCCCGGGTATCAAGGCAGAGCACTTGACCTTCATTAAGCCCTCCCACAACCATGCTTTCTTTGGCTCCTCACGGCATCCTTGGGAAGTAGGTAGTATGGTTTCCATTTCACCATTGGGGAAACTGAGGCCCATGACAGGAAAGACCTGCCCAGCATCACATAGAAAATAGGGAAGGGTCTGGTCCAGCACTTATGGCCTTGACACCTGCCACCTCCCCTGCCTCTTCCTTGGTTGGGGTGAGCCTGCTGTGTGGGTGCGGGTGGTGACTCACCCAGGGCACGTGGGTGGGTGCTGCAGCTAAAGCTGGTGGGTGTGACCTGCCTGGCACCGCAGGCAGGTGTTCCAGCCAGTTCTGCCTCTGACATCTCATTCCAGCCATCCCTCTGCCTGCGATGGGAGTCACCCAGCACCTCAGTCGTAGTCCCGCCGGGAGACCCCAGGCCCCAGACATGTGATGACCTCCGAGCAAAGGCTGCTTCTGCCACCAGAGCCTTGCCAGGGTGAGTCCTCCGGGAGAAGATGCAGTGTCCTCCCTGGCCTGGGGGAGCCAGAGCGTGGACCCCTGGGATCCTCTGGGCCCTGTCTGTCCTTGCTGATGGGCCTCATGAGTGACTTGGGAGGGAGCTTGGGCTGTGTAGCAGGGGATACAAAGCTAGATATGTGCTCTTGGCCCTGGGGTGCTTGAGAACATACACAGGTTCTGAGGGACCCGAGGGATGTTCCCCTGAGGTTTGGAAATCCTGGGGAGGGAGAGCACCTCACGGCTGTCGGAGCAGAGGTGGGGCTCTTCTCTCCCCCAGCAGGCCCCAGGGATTGGCCCCTGGGGACAGGAGTATGACGGTGGCGTTCATGATGGAATGAGTTAGCCCCAGAGCTTGAGAGGGATGGGATGGCTCAGGCATCTCACAGGCGCTGAACCAATAGTCACTGTTCCAGGCTGGGCCGGGCTCACCAGCCTGGGTCAGGGGGCTCCTGGTGGCTCCTGGGCCTGGACTGTCTCCCAGGAAAGCCCATTTCAGTCAGTATCAGGTCTTGAGAGTTGCAAGACCCCACTTTCCAGGTGGGGAAGCTGAATTCCAGAAAGAGGGAGGGCCAGGGCCACGAGAGTCCAGCAGGTGAGAATGCAGGATTTATGGGGTGACTCAGGGAGCTAATTACAGCTGTTGCAGCCCCAGTCCAGAGCTTTCCTGACCCTCTCCTGCCCTGGCTGCCCAGGACTGCCCTCTACACACAAGTCCAGAGCTGGGAAGACAGACCAAGCAGCTGTCACCAGTCAGGGCCATAGGGTCTTTGGAGATCATTGAGCTCATTTCTCAGATGAGAAAACTGAGGCCAGGGGAGGATAAGGGACATACCCTCCACTCCACTCCTTTATGCTTGGCCCAGCCTGGCCTTTCAGCCCCACCTGCCCACAGGTCACTTTGGGCTGAGGCAGGCAGTAAAAGTGGCCCCATCAGACTGTGACTGTTGGTATGGACAGGGAACCGGGCTGCTCACTTGTGTGGCCTTGTGACCCCCTCCTCAAACTTCCCTGCCTCGAGACGCCTATACTCCATTGGATGACTCTCCATCCCAGGCTGCTCACTTTTATGGGGGCGGAGGGGGGAAACTTGGTCCATCTCCAAACCTCACTAAAGTCACTGATGACAGCTGCTTCAGACACTTCCTCCAGGAAGCCTTCCCATTTGGGGCAGGAGGACCTGCAGCCCCACCTCTACTCATCCAGCTGGGCTCTTACAAAAATTCATCTCCCTACCCCTACACCTGTGTGTCTCAGTGAGCTCTCTGAGGGTGACTCAAGCTGAGAATGTTCCCCATTAACTGCAGAGTCACCTCCTGTCCACACAACCCTTTCCGCTGCCCGTCTCATCCTGTCATGGCCAGCCTGCCCTTGCCCTACCCAGAGGGCCCCTCCTGGACAACCACCTCAGCCTCCTCTTGGCCCCCTGCCCTCTGGTCTGCCCCACACAGCTGCTGTCTCTAAAGTGGCCATCTCGTATGAAGCTGCAGCTCTCCCATGCTCCCCACTGCCCTCAGGATCAGCCACAGCTCCTGGCTGGTGTTTGAGGCCCTCACAGTGTGGCCTCAACCTGCTCCCAGGCCTCTTGCTGGCTGTTCTCCAGTCACACCAGCTCCCTGCCACTCACAGAACTTTCTTGACCTCAGTCCTTTGTTCGGGGTGTCTTATCTGTCTGGACCCTCTACCCAGAAGTCTTTAAGGTCTACTTCAGTTGGCTTTTCCAATCTCCTCAGTAGATGTAACCGGTCCCTCTTCCCAGCATCTCTGCACTCCTCCAAGCCCAGCACAGGGCCCTGCCCAGATACAGCATCAAAGCAGGTCTAGAGGGTCTAGAGCCCTAGATGGGGCTGCCTCCTCCACCTCAGCATGGGGGGGGGGCTTAGCTGCGGTGTGAGGTGGAAGACAGCCGAGGTCCCTGACACCTTGGGGTCTGCTTATGATCTCCTGGGCCTCAGGCAGAGAAAGGAATCCAGTGGACAGTTTTGGGTGGGCAAAGGATGAAAGTGTGCTAGTTGCGGAGACCACCAGGCACTGAGAGATCCAAAACACCAGAGGGGCTGGAAGATGTGTCACCAGGAGCATAGTGTCTAGAGCAAAGAAGGTGACAGTCCATCTCTGTCAGGGTCAAACCTTTGAACACAAATCTGAGAGGCGCATGGAAAAAGCAGAGCTAATACTCAGGAGTCCACCTGGAGCAGGGATATTGGCTGGAGATGATCTCTTGTTAGATGCTGTCTTGTCCTGAGACCACCCAAGAGCATGGTGGTCTCCACGTGGAAGCTCTGCTGGGCTTTTCTTGGGCCACAGGAGCAGGGGTGCTGGAGCAGGGAGTGGGGGAAGCTGTGGGGATGGTCTCCTCATCCCTGGGAGGAGTTGGTGTCCTGTGAAAACAGGGAGTGAGCTCCCTCTCTCAGGGGGGTGATGGGCCAGATGTTGTCTGAAGCCCATTGAAGCTCACCTGCACCCCTTTAGCCTGAGCATCTGCCCTGTGATTGTGTTCCAGCCATGAATGCCCACCCCAAGGAGATGGTGCCCGCCACGGGCAGGAAAGCCATGGTCCCCAGTGGGAACCCTGCCATCCTGCAGGAGAAGAGGCCTGCCGAGCTCACCCCCACCAAGAAGAGGTAGGACAGGAAGTCTTGGGCCTGGGCTCCGCACTGTGGGGACACAGGAGGGAGCCCTGGCCTGCAGTGGACCCCAGACAGTCATTCTCATCAGGGGTGGCCTGGTGCCTATGGGGGACAGCACTACATCCTCAGGGGGCTGAGCCGAGGAGGTCAGTCCGAACGACACCATCAGGGAGGCCTCCTTCAAGGAGCCAGGGGGCAGCTAGGCAGGAATGGTCAGGAAGGCCCTTGAGGAGCAAGGCATTGCTGGGCCATCCCTGAGAAGAGCAGCACAAGGGGGTGGAAGATCCAGGTGATCTCGAGCCCCCACTGGGTAGCTTTTTCACCCATGCCAACAGCTCACCTTGCCGTGTGCTTGGCCAAGTTACTCAAGCCCTCTAACCTCACCTGTGTAATGGGGACACCAACAAGGATGGCAGATAATTAGGATCACGCTGACAAGGTGCTCAGCACAGTGGCTGACACGCAGTCAGTGCTCAGCACAGGTCAGTCATTGTTTTTATCGCCTCATCATCATTATTCTACATGGTCCGCTGGGAGCTGGGCAGGGCCGGGACAGTTATCTCCACTTCACAACTGGGGGGCAGGGAAGGTACTTCTCCAGGGTCACACTTTTTGGGCTCTGAGTCCTTTCCATTGCAGATTCCTCTATCCCTCAGCTGATTCTGTGTCCCTCAAGCTTTAAACCCCTCCCACACCAGCTGTGATCCTCTTGGAGTTGCGTTGGGCCCCCTGGTCCAGGTGGACTCATTTTCCCTGTCTCCCCTGCCCCTGGCCCAGGCCTCCTCTTGGGCCAGAGGTGAGTCTGGTGTTTTATCTTCTCTGTTGTTTTGAGTAATAATCACCGAAGTCTCCTAAGCACCAGGTCCGGGGCTGGGCCCAGAGTGGGGAGACTGGGACACAGAGAAATAATATCCACTCCTGCTCACAGTCTGGCAAGTGGGACACCAGGGAGAATGTGGGAAGTGCCCAGAGAGAGGGTGAACTGGGAGGGAGGGGGGCTGGAGAAGAGTGGGTTATCCCATGGGCAATCTTGAGGCACTTCCTGGAGGAGGCGATATTAGGATGGATGTTGGCAGGCAGAGAAGAAAGGAAAGGGCATCCTGGGCAGAGGGACATGGGAACAAATGCTCAGGGCAAAGACCAGTGAGGAGGCTGGTATAGCTGAAGAACTGGGTAGGTCTAAGAGTCTGATTGGGGCTGGGTCTTGGGAGTCAGTTAAGGAGCTTGGACAATCCTGAGGGCAGTGGGGAGCCATGGAAAGATTTTCTGCAGGACAGGGGACATGGAGAGATTTGCATTTTGAAAAGGTTGTCCTGGGTGATCGTGTGGACGATGATTTGGAGGCAAGGCTGGAGGTAGGGAGACTGTGGGGAGGCTGTTGGGAAGCCCAGGTGACAGGTGATGAGCTCTGAGCCCAGGTGATCATTGATGAAGAGGAAGGGATTGATCAGAGAGGTACTAGGATTGTGGGGTCTTCAGAATCACTATGGAAAGGGAGGGAAAAGGAGGAGCCAAGAGATACACCCTTTTTCTGGTGGAGGAAACTGGGCGGGGGGATGGTGGGTTAGTCTCAGACATGGGTGCATCAGAGGAGAAGGAGCAAGGTCAAGAGGAAGTTGCCAAGTTCAAGTATGACCTGTTGAGTGAAAGGTTCCTTGAGGGACATCCAAGTGGAGGTGTCCAGAAGGTACTGGCTAGAGTGCAAGAGAGAAAACTGGGTGGAGATGGAGATCAGACAGGCCAACCTGGGTCTAGGGGACTTGCTCAGGTAAGAGCAGAGATATCCCTGAGCTAAGCTGGCAAAGACCGCCCCCGCCCACAACTCATCTCTCTTCCTCCTCACCTCTTCTCCTCCTGCTCTCCCAGGGGAGGCTTGGGCCTCAGGGGAGGATTGAGGACAGAGCTCCAGGAAAACCCCAGGTTCTTCCCGCAGCAGAATTAGACCACACTGCACTTGCCCTAGTCTGTCCTTTTCAGGCACTTAGCTCCAGGCTCAGCTCTGCCTACTGCTTAGGCCCAGCTGAAGGCCCAGTTGTGAGGTGTGACTTTGTCTCAAAGCGTCAATGAAGTGTTGGTGTCCTCCTCCCAAAAAACTGTCTGAGGGTCCTCACATGACCACTCCTCCCAGACCTCAAAGGTTTTGGCATTTTCCTTAGAACTGAGTGCAGTACTCGTCCTGGAGGAGAGAGAAATTTATATGTAAAGAAAAGAGAAACAATTATATGTAAAGAAAGAGGGTAATGCTGGACACTAAGGAAATATGCACTGACGGTGGGATTGAAGGCACCAAGAAGTCTGTGCTGGGGAGAGAGGTTTGGACCTGGGAGCTTTTCCTGAACCATCAGGCCACTCCATGTGAGTAGGTGTCATGCTGCTTCCTTACTGGGCCCTGGGTCAGGTGATGCTCAGGGACAGAGACAAGTTCATTGATGACTGGAGGAGCTGGCACTGTGGAGCTCAGAGCACGTGGGCATTTCTTGGGACAAAGCTGGTGGCCAGACAGGCCCCTTCCCAGCCCTGAGGCTGCTCGGTGATAGTTCTTTGCCTTCAAAGGGACAGAAATGCAGAAGAAATGGTGCAGAGCTGTCTGCTCACCTGTAATTACCAACACCCAGGTGATGCCCCCTGGTCTGGGCCAAAGGTAGGAATAAACAAACAGCATCTGCTGCCTGTCAGGAGCCAGGATGTCAAGTAGCCAAGACCTTTCCAGCTGTTCATGATGATGGATGAGATGTGGAGTGTGTTGTGGCAAGCAGGGCAGGTGTAGGCCAGCCCCTCATGGTCTAGTAGCTCCCCAGCCCCAGGAGTTAGGTCCTTGCCCAGCAATTGAATTCCTGCCTAGTCCAGCTCTTGCCACTCTCCTTCCACCCTGTGAGAAGACCTTCTTACTTCTTCCTCAAGCACAGCCCTTACCTTCCTGCCGCAGAGGCATTTTTCATGCCACTGTTTCGGCCTCCAGTGCTTTTCCCCAACTCTCACCAAATATCCACTTCCATACCCAGACCAAGTAGCACCCTGACAGAGCACAGAGCCTTGCCTGTTCCTTGTCCTTGACTGGAAGTACTTTCCCCTCCCTTGAGCTCCCATAGCCCAACCCTTCTCAGAAGTCGGCACAGTTATTGGGATTATGTCTTAGCTCTAGTTGAGATCTCTGAGGACTGGGGCCCTGGAAGGGTCACCTCTTCCTTCCCCATTGCGTATTTTCTGTACAGGGTATATTAGTAGTTTCTGAGCAAGTGGGTGAGTCAATGAAGGAGTAGGCAAAAAAAAAAAAAAAAAAAAAAAAAAACCGAGAGAAGGAGTGAATGAGTCAACTAGAATGCAGCCCAGTGGCTCAGCACAGCCCCTCAGCATGAATGAGGACAGACTCCATGGTGAGGTAAGGAAATGCTTCTTATCCTCTGCCTGCCTCTGGCCCTGAGTCTCCAGGCCTAGAGTGGAGAGATGCCCTCATGACTTGTTTTCCTGCAGTGTCCTTGAGACCTGGGGAAGAGAGAAAATTATGTGTAAAGAAAGAGGGCAACACTGAACCCTAAGGCAATATGCACTAATGGTGGAATTGGAGGCACCAAGAAGTCTGGATGGAGGAGAGATATTTGGACTTCTGGGAGTAGGCCCTGAGAAGATAGGGAGGTGGAGGAGAGACAAAGGACCCATCCTCAGCTTCTTATGCAAGACAGGGAAGAGGATGGGACTTAGGAGAAGTGAGGGTTTTGGGCAACTGAGAGCTCAGTGTGAGTCACTTGAGGGATACAATCTCCCCACCATATTTAAAGTTTAAAGTTGTGTTGGTCTTTCTGCGTATTGGTCCTGTCCATCTGCCTCTCCATCTATCCAGCTATCTGTGCACCCAACTACTCATTCCCTATCCATCCATCCATCCATCCATCCATCCATCCATCCATCCATCCATTTATTCACCCATCCATCCATTCATTTACTCATCCATCCATCCATCCATTTATTCACCCATCCATCCATTCATTTATCCGTCCACCCATCTGTCTGTCTAGATGATCAGCCATTCTTACTTCCACTTGTTTATCTTTTCACTCACCACCTCTCCATCCTTCAGCTTACCCATTCAGTGAGGTCTTCTGAGTTTCAGGACCAGTGTTGGGTTCTGGGGAGTCAAGGATGATGCACTTGTAGTTCCTGCTATTGAGAAGCTCACAGCTGAAGAAGAGTGAGCTGTCCAGAGCAAAGGAAGAGATGACCACACTGCACTTGCCCTAGTCTGACCCTTGGGGCCAGCCCGCTGGAATAGCAGCTCGATGAGGGTAGAGATTTTTGTCTACTTGTTCGCCACTGTATCCTCAGCTCTTAGAAGAGTGTGTGGCACATAGTAGGTGTTCAATAAATATTTGTTGAGTAGAGGCACTACTGAGGAGCCCAGACAGATAGGATGGGGGGCAGGGGAGGGACTACACCAACTTCAGGTATAGGTATTGGGGCTGAGTCAGTAGATGAGTTTAAAGCTCCTGCATAAGAGCTACATGGTGGGGTGGGGACGACTTTGAGATGGCGGTTCTGGGGCACTGGGTGGGTACAGGGGAATGGTGATTGAACTGGAAGACCTCTGATGTTCACTTTGGGTCACTTGGCCCAGACCTAGTAAATGACCTCCTGGGGCCACACTGCAGGCAGAGGCTGAGCTTGACTAGAATCCAGGCACCGGGCTCCCAGCCCAGGGTTTGCTCCTCCTTTTGTCTTCTCTTTTGGAAGAAGGATTTGATTTCAGGCCAGGTCAGAAGGCTCCCTTTGATGGGCAGGAAGGTGAGGGTCAATGAGCCACCAGCACTGCCCTGCATCCCACTTTTGCCCCATTTCTAGATTAGCTCTGAGCCTCCTAGGTCTTGTTTGTGCTTGAAGGAGAGGAATGGGATTCCCAGGCAAGCCCCAGGTCTCCCTCCTTCCTGACCCACCCTGGAAAGTAGCTGCATCAGGTGACCTCCCTCTGTGCTGAACCCCTGGAGTTAGTTTGGCTGGAAGCAGACCCAGAGGGCTGAGATGAGAGAAAGCAGCACAGACTGTGGTGTGAGCTGTCAGCCTGGACATCTGGGGCCACATTCTCTGACCTACTTTGCTTCTACCCTGCGGGATGACTGTGGATGAGCTGCTTCCCCATTCTGGGCCACAGTTTCCTCATCTGTAGAATGGGACCATAATCCCTTCCCTGTTCCCTCCCTTCCAGTCTGAAGACCCAACCTGCTAGGGCTGGGACTGAGCTTTGGGAGCTGTTCTGTGAACTTGTGAGAAGGGTAGGGGGACACTGATTCTTCCCAGCCTGGGAAGCAAGCAGTAGGAAAAGTGCCAAGAGAGGCCCGGCTGGTCAGGAGGCCACAGTCCCAGGGCCAGAGCCTCAGGGCCATCTGCTGTGCTGCAGCAGCTCTGAGAAGGGGGTGTTGGTGCAGCCAAAGTCACCCTCAGCTGAGTGCTCACCACCTGGGTGTCAAGAGAGGCCCATCTGCGTGTGTGACGTGGTTTATGAAGGCAGACGTGTCTGCTTTTGTGGGTGTGTCTGAATGCGCCCTGTATTTCCAGAAAGATGTGCCAGGGCTGTGTCTGTTCTGGGAGTTCTGTCCTGGGTGTGTCTTGCCTCTCAAGTGGCAGTGAGTCTCCGCCTCCCATGGGGCCCAGGCCAGGCAACAGGTAGCAGGGCCTTGGGACTCATGGAAAGACCTCAGCTGAGAAGGCGACATTCAGTATAGACTGAAAGAAGCGAGGGAGCAAGCCACGAGGATATCTGGGGGACCAACGTTCCAGGCAGGGAACAGCAAGGGCAAAGCCCTAAGCGAGTGCTGGCTGGAGTGGTTAAGAAATGAAAGGAGGCTAGTGTGGCTGGAGCAGAGACAGCAAGGGCGAAGGCTGTAGGAGAGAGGTAACAGGGGCTCTTGTATTCAAGAGTGATATTCAAAATATGGACTAACCAGTACAGTAAGCTATGGAGGGAGCCCCTGGGCGGTGCAAACAGTTAATGCACTTGGCTACTAACCAGAAGGTTGGTGGTTTGAGTTCACCCAGAGGTGCCTCAGAAGACAGGCCTGATGATCTACTTCTGAAAAATGAACCACTGAAAGCCCTATGGAGCACAGTTCTACTCTGACACACAAGGGGGCACCAGGAGTTGGAATCAGTTTGAAGGCAACTGGTGGTTTAAGCTGCAGAGGCTGCAGTTTGCATGAGCACCATGCAGGGCATCTTTAGGGAGTGCAGCCATGGCCAGCGGATACAGTGGCCACAGCCTGTGCAGGACAGGTGGGTTGCGGATCACGGTGTGCCAGGTGTGCCCACCTGGGGCTTATTAGAGCCAGGGAAGGTAGGCTGATGGAGGGAGGGCACTCAGGGGACCCAAGGCCATAACCATTTAACATATGGAGTGGGACTATTTCAGTATTTTAACCTGCTGAATAACAGCTCTGCTTGTAGGTTGCAGTAAGAACTTTGTCTTCAACACTGAGTTAGACAGGAGCAGAGGAGTGACATGGTCTGACTCTCCTTTTAGAAGAATCTCTCTGGCCACTGTTTTGAGCATAGACCTTAGGGACCAAGTGGAAGCAGGGAGACCAGTCCCCAGGCTATCTCGGTGATCTAGCTGGTAGAGGACAGTGCTCAGACCAGGAGGAGCAACGGAGAGGGTAGCCATGGTTTGATTCCGGACTTATTTTCAAGGTAGAGCTGGCAGGATTTGGTGACAGATTGGACGTGGGATAAGAGAGAGAGATTAGAGTCAAGGTTGGCTCCAAGATTTTTGACCTGAGCAGCTAGATAGAACGGAGTTGCCATTTATTGAGACAGAGAAGGATGTGGGAGAAATAGGTTTTAGGAGGAAGTTTGGAGCTTGTCTGATGACAAGGCCGACACCCTACAACTTTTTCCCTTCCTCCTTTCATTCATTCATTCATCCTTCATATTTGTTGAGCATCTACTTTGTGCTGAAGTTTTCCAGGAGCCGAGGATAGAGAAGTGAACCAATAGATGTGGCCCTTGCCCTCATAGATCTCAGAGACTAGTGGCCTCCCCCGAGCAAGGGCCCTTGGGGGCAGCTGAGGCTGGAGGGGGCAGTTGAGGGGGCGGTGGTGATGTTGGACTCTAGCTCCCAGCCCCATGCTCCCCATCTTCGGTGAGTCCTTTGCACTTAGAGGGGGCAGCTGTAGAGAGGGAAATTCTCCTCAGGGTGTCAGGCCACCCGTATAAGAGACCCTTGGATTCATCCTCCCAGGATGTCCAGTGGCAAAGCCACCCAGGCCTAGCTTTGGATTTAGGCTCTGCCACCTGCCAGCTATGTGACCTTGGCAAGTTGCTTCTTGCTTCTCTGAGTCTCCAAATGCCCGTCTGTGAAATGTGGGTGATCATAGCACTACCCAACCCAGAGAGTGCTGGGAGGATGTAGTGAGGCCAAGTGGGCAGAGGTCATTGACCCGGACCCTCAGACGCAGGGCTGCAGGACACCCAGGTGGACTGACCCGGCTCCAGCTCTAATGGCCTTGCTTGGGTGTCCCCCCACAGCGCGCACTTCTTCCTGGAGATAGAAGGGTTTGAGCCCAACCCCACCATCTCCAAGACCTTAGCCCCCATCTTCTCCAAGCCCATGGACTCCAACATCCACCAGTGGTGAGTACCGGCCTTCAGTGCCAGGATGAGGAGGCTGAGGCCCCAAGTGGGTGGGCAGTGACTCACCCTTGGCTACATGGCCTGGCCTGGCTGTGGCTGGCTAGCACTGTCCTTTTTTAAACTTGTCCCTCTCTTCACACCCCCAGCATCTCTGGCAACTGTGATGACATGGACTCCCCTCAGTCTCCCCAGGATGATGTGACAGAGACCCCGTCCAATCCCAACAGCCCGAGGTAAGCCTGGTCCTGCCCTTCGTCCCAGTGCCCCACCAAGAGGAGGTGTCAGAGGGACAGGCATCAGGACCCTGCAGGAAAGAGAAGGAAGTCACTATCCCTGGGGGGTTAGACCATGTCTGGAGGCCTGGGCCCATGGCTGTGGCATGTAGGAAATTTTTTTTCTTTTTGTGGGAAGAGGATATGTATAAAATTTTATAAATGATTAAACATACAAACAGCAGTCAGAAACAAAATGGGAATTACAACATTTACACATTTGCATGAGTTAAATTTACATAATTACATAAATTAAAAAGACATGCTTATGTCTTTTATGTATGTATTTTACAAAAACACATACACACAATGGTTATCGATTTGGAGCCTGGAAGTGGGGAGGGATATATTATAAAAAAATTCAGAAAACGAGAAATTTGAAAATGAATTCTCCCTTCCCTCAATTCCACACTTAATCACCATGAACAGTTAGCCATATCATATTCCTGATCGTTACTATGAGCATCCGAATACATAATGGAACACGGTGTGATCACATTGGATTACGAAAGGAACCTGCACAGAGCAGCACAAAGCGCTGGCACTTGAGCACTCGCGGAGGGATTTCAGGCACTGTGTAATGTTACGCGCTGGCGCAGGGCCCGGCAGGCACGGTATCTCTGGTGGGGAAGCGGGCGGGATCGGAGATTGTGGTGCCTGTGTGGCGAGCAGGAAACCTTTCCTGGCCTCAGTGCGAACTTGGCCAAGGAAGCGCAGAGACGCAATAAGAAGCGGCTGAAGAAGCGGATATTTGCTGCTGTGTCAGAGGGCTGCGTGGAGGAGGTGGTGGAGCTGCTGGTGGAGCTGCAGGAGTGGTGCCGGCAACGCCGTGGCATGGACGTGGCTGGTCAGTCCTGGTCCTGCAGGGGTGCAGGGCTGGAGGGTCCACTCCCTTGCCCCCCGTCATCAACCCATGGGATGAGAGCATGAAGAGCCTTGAATGCCAGGCTAAGGACTTTGACCTTCACTCTGAGGGCAATGGGGAGCTATAGGAGGGTACAGGCAGGTAAGGGTCATGGTCTGGCTACCATGGGGAGGATGAGGATAAAGCTGGAGGCAGCGAGAAGACTGCTGTTCAGGCAGAGCTGGGGCCCTGGCAGCAGAGTTGGGGGAGGGAAGAGGGCAGTTCTGGGGAGTCCGTCAGGCAGTGGCACTGCAGGCCTTGGGGACTGAATGGATGTGGGGAGTGAGGGGGAGGGAGGAGTCCAGGATGACATTTTGATTTAGACGCCTTGGTGGACAGCAGAACTATAGCCGTCTTGGGGACCAGGAGGAGTAGCAGGTTAGGGGGAGGTGATGAGTTCTATTTCAGAGATAAGGATTTCCGGGTGTCAGCACCAAGATGGGCAGTGGGCAGCCATGCAGTGGGTGAGATTGTGCCTGCACCAGGGAGGGGTGCAGAGAGCAAAGGAGACAAGGCCTCAGATAAGGCCCTCCAGGGCCAAGGAGCAGGAGGAGCCAGCCAAAGATACCAGGGAGGAGAGCGGGGAGCGTGGGGTCAGGAAGGCCAGCGGGGTGTGAAGCAGGGTGGGGAGGTCTGAGGCTGCAGCTCCCATATCCTGGCTTCCCCTCCCTGGTGCCTGGGAGGCCAAGGGCCACCGGGGTCGCTCCTGTGGCTCTAGCCTGTGACCCGCCTGCAGACTTCCTCATGCGCGAGCTGACAGCCTCCGACACAGGGAAGACCTGCCTGATGAAGGCCTTGTTAAACATCAGCCACAACACCAAGGAGATCGTGCGGATCCTGCTCACCTTCGCTGAGGAGAACGACATCCTGGACAGGTTCATCAACGCCAAGTACACGGAGGAGGCCTACAAAGGTATCAGCCTGCAGGAGGGGCCGTGCAGAACTGGGATTTCCAAGGGGTGGGGTGGGGTGGGGTGGGGAGTGGCTGTCCCTGCAGAGAAGCTGTTGTCACTGATGAACGCCAAGCACTTCAGCAAGTCACCCCTCTCTTCCTTCTTGCATTCTGCAAATAATTGTGAGTTCTGACTTCATACCAGGCATTGCTTTAGACACGGTGCAGTGGTGAACAAGACAGACAGGATCACTGCTCTAAATAAGATGATTTTAGATGGAAATGCTATAAAAATACTAAAAGAAGGTAATGTGATAGAAAGTGACTGATGAGAGCCTCTGGGTAGCGCAAACGGTTAAGTGCTCTACTGCTAACCAAAAGATTGGTGGTTTGAGTCTACTCAGAGGAGCCTCGGAAGAGAGGCCTGGCAATCTGTTTCAAAAAAAAAAAAAATCAGCCATTGAAAACCCTATGGAGAACGGTTCTACTCTGACACACATGGGGTTGCCACGAGTCAGCACTGACTCGAAGACCAGAAAAGAAAAGAAAAGAAAAGAAAAGAAAAGAAAGAGACAAATGAAGGGTGGTGGGTGGTCCAAGAGGTGATCTTTGACCTGAGGCTTGCCTGTGAGAAGGATCCAGAGCAAGTCAAGGACAAAAGCTCGGAGATGGAAGTGAGCTTGGAATGTCTGAACAATGGAAAGAAAGAGAAGTCAGAGAGCTGGGCAGGGGCCAAACAATGGTAACTATTAGTATTATCATTGTCATTATTTTCTGTTTCATTTGGGTCCCAATTTTGTGGCTTCCCTTTTAGGTGGGCCAGGGAAGGATCGAGGAGACTGAATCTGGGATAGTGTCTCCCTGTCCAGAGAATCTGCTGTGGATAATCAGTAGGGTGTGTCCTTATTTGAGGTTTTGGAGTCAGCAAACACCCTGTTAGGAGCTTATGAGATACTTGCAGCAAAAAAAAAAAAAATTGATTAGCTCAAGAATAGCTAGACACCTGTCCTGCTGATATGCCAGGGGCATTGAACATCTCAGCTGTTTTCTGGGTAGGAGTCTGGCCTGGGCCCTTAGCACTTCTCATGGGAGAATGTCATTTTGATTTATTATTTAAACTCTGCAGACTTTCAAAGGAGTTTTGTTATATACAATAAAAAGTCAAGGATTGTAAAAAACTAGAAGATATGGAGTGGAGGAGAGGAAACTCAGGAACGCTTGCTGCAACTGAGTGCTGCACTATACCTGAACTCCCTGGCAACCAAAGCAAAGAGAGAAATCAGATGAGCTATATAATGTTCTTAGCTTATCACTAGGGGCTTGACACCGGTACTGTAGACAAGGAGATTAGGCCAGTGCCTCAAGTCACCCATCGTGATTCCTCTCCCTTTTCAGCCCCCTGTGGCCCTTCCTTCCTTCTCGTCAGTATTGCAGGGGGCTTACAGACTCTGCTTTTCCAAGTGGCATTCTCCCCTTGAAGCCAGAGTAAAGTCTATCTTGTCCATAGTGAATTCTCTAGTACCCTGGGGTCTCACATAAAACCAAAAACCAAATCTGTTGCCGTTGAGTCAATGCTGACTCATGGTGACCCCCGTGAGTAGAATAGAGTAGAACTGCACTCCATAGGGTTTTCAAGTCTGGCCTTTTGGAAGCAGATCAGGCCTTTCTTCTGAGGCTCCTCTGGCTGGGTTTGAACCGCCAGCCTTTCAGCTACTAGTGGAGTGCTCAGCCGTTTGTACCACCCAGGGACTTGGGTGTCTCACATAAGAGACACAATATTTTTTTAGTGAGTGTGTAAATGAAGGTTATTAGTGTTTTCATTCAGACTTTGCTGCCCTGACTGCAAATCCTTATGTTTCTCTTTTCTCAGCCTCTCCCTGCCCCTTCCTTATTCCTCTTGCTGGTGGACTTGCAAATGTGTGTGTGTGTATGTGTGTGTGTTGGGGTGGGATGGGGGGCCTGCAGGCCCCCACTCTCTCTCTGCGTGGTGGGAGGAATCATTTATTCCTGCCTTCCCAGAAACCAATACGCCCCTCTGCCTCCTGAAGGTATCTGCTGATGCCCCTCTTTCAGGCAGTCCCTTCGCCTGGGGCTGAGGGGCTCCAGGACCAACAGAACTGTGTTTTTTCTTCACTGTGGGTGGGTTATCTTGCCTCTCTGAGCCTCAGATTTTCCATTTGGCAGAAGCTAACTTTTATTAATAATATATATTTTTAGCATTTTATCAGAGGCCTTCAGAGCCTTCTTTTTTTCAATTTACTAAATCAAAAATTTTTTAAAGAAACAAGTTAAAATGATAGCATAATGACTTCTATATATTCATTACCCAGATTCAACATAATAATTTATTTTAACTATATAAATGACACATGAATAGTTTCATCGCAAGACATTCAAAGATTTTAGGTACGTTTTTATAAAAAAAACCCATCTTTTTACCTGTCTTCTCTCCAGAGATGACCATTACGGTGTGTATCCTTTGAGGACTTTTCTGGACCTTTGACATAGGTGTATGTGTTCACGTAGAAATAATCTTTATTTGTGTTCTTAATTAGCATAAAACACGATCATACTGCCTGTATTGTTCTACAACACGCTTTTTTTTTGGTTAGCTATATGTCTTAGAGATCATCTCATGTCAGAATGTGAAAGTCTACCTGCTTTTTACCTGCTTAGTCTGCAGTACAGGGGTCCCTATCACGGTTCATTTCATTTCTCCTCTGTTGCAAGACATTCAGGTGGTTTCCAATGTTTCGCTATGACAGTATTGCAGGGCCCATTCTTGTCTATGATGCTGTGCACAGATGCAAACATTTTTAGGAAAATGCTTGGAATATCTGGGTTCAAGAGTCTGTGCATTTAAAATTAGAATAATTATTACCTTCAAAAGGCACCAGTTTATTTCCTCCTTCTCCTCAGGGTACAAGAACACTCATTTCCTCACCTCTCACCAATACTGGATATTATCCATCCCACCCCCAACTTTTTTTTTCTTTTTTGGTTGTTGCCAAGCTAGTGGGTGAAAAGTACCAACACACTGAGTTCTAATTTTCTTTTTCCTGTTTACCAGTGATTTCAAACATCTTTCACTCTGTTTATTGGCCACTTGTATTCATTTTTTCCTCTGAGGTGCTTGCTTAGAATCTTTCCTCAGTTTTCTTTTAGGTTGTTTGTCTTTTTATTGATTTGTAGGAGCTCTTAATATATTATGGATTTTAAAAAACACATTGTCGCTTATATACATCTGAAATATTTTCCCCAGCCCGTCACTTGTCTTTTTTTTAAATTTTTTTAAATTGTACTTTAGGTGAAGGTTTACAGAACAAATATTTTCCCATTAAACAGTCAGTACACATACTGTTTTATGACATGGGTTAACAACCCCACGACATGTCAACACCCTCCCTTCTCGGCCTTGGAGGACCTTTTTTTTTTTTTTGGTGAAAATATACATAGCCAAAGATACACCATTTCAAAAATTTCTACATGTATAATT